ACAAGTGTAGCATCCTACGTTTGCTCATTGTGTTTTATAGTCATTGTTACCAAACTGTAGGTGTTCTGCACACGTGGCCATGGCAACAGTTGTTGTCAGAGTCCCAAGGCTGCAAGAGCCAATAAGCGTCGTGTAGGCAACTTTATTTTTTGGCGGGAGAATCATCCAGCCCAGGGTTGGATGACCAAATGTGGACACGGGCTTCTGTGTGTGTGGTGGATGGGTATGAATGGATGTTTTCGTGCTCATTTGCTCCTTTTCATTTGCATTTCATGCTCCGCAAGCTCTTTGAGATAATTTCATCCAGCACCTGTTAGTCCACCAGCGTAGTCTTTTAAGCCTGCTTGGCCCACTGGCAGAACATTGGCATCGACGTAGTGACGTAGGTCGTATAGAGTGGGCTTTTTTATTTAGGGTCAGCCCGGTTAGGATAACAGCAGTTACACTTGTTAGGTCGCTTATTTAGGCGCAGATCTGTGTGGTAGAATATTTTGTCGGTAGAACTGTTTGTAGTTGCCCGGAACAATTGTCGTAGGTCGCCCGCTCTTGTAGCCGACCATCTTCGACGTTAGGCTTGTTTACTGGTAGAAGTATTCGCTCCCAATCCATAATATCGTCGAACCCACGAAAGTTATGTACAAGCATAAGGGTTCCGTAGATTATTATATCCGTATAATGGTAGGAACTTATTTTCGTTGTTTCGTTGTAAAGAATTAAAGCGGTAGAACAAAAGGTGACAGAGCTATACGTTACGGGACAGTCAGGCGACCCTGTATACGCAAGTTGTAGGCAGTGTTCGAAGACCAATGTGCATACGCCTGAAGCACAGACTCTCTTACGACTTCTGTGCTTAGCCCACTAAGCATTCTGCCTATGTTATCTGCACACTTGCGAATCGTTACCACCTACCGCGGCTGACACCATCCGATTCTTTCGTCTAGTCTCGGTTGCTAGGTAATAAATTAGGAATCTGTGAATGGCCGACAGCTCGGTCCACTCTCGCCCCATGGCAGCCCAGGGCGCATAGGATGGAGAAGAAGACCTGGAGGACGATGAAAATACTGACCAAGACTACGCACAGGATCGCGAGAACGATAGCGAGTTTGAGGCGACCGAGGAGGATTTGTTCCAGGGTGGTATCTACGAACCATCCGTCCAGATTCAAGTCCAGGGGAGTGTTGAAGGGAGTGAAGGGCCGGGAGGCGATGGAGTGAGCCCACGACCCGGTGCGCCCGAAGAACGGTACGAGGAGGATGGAGATCACTCTGACGCAGAAGAGGAGGGAGAATCATCGCCGGGACGACGACGACCTCCCGATTCTACGAGCCATGTCGAGCAGGCTGCGGCCCCCGGAAATGCGCAGCGGCAGACCGACGTTGCGGAAAAGGAGAGCAGGATCCGGCGTTCAACAATCCCGCTTCGACTGATAGAGGCCGGCACGAGAAGGCACTATTGTTTCCACTTTCTACACTTCAAGTGGTGGGTGATAATCTTCATGGCAACTATGGTAGATGTCCCTGTGGCAGATGGCCTTGCTCCCTCTCTGCACGACGAAGTTGGGTTTCATATGAGCAATAACTTGGGAAATGATGGGTGGTCGTGCAGCTCTGACGAGTGGCAGATTCATCTGCACGGGCCGCGAGTCACAGAATGGAGGCTCGGCCGATACATCGAGTATCTCTTCTGCGAAACTGACGAGCAGGCAAAGTTTTTGCGTGGAAAAATGCGGCCAGACGTCGAGAAATATGTGGGGAAGGAGGCAAAGGGGTGCACAGCTTCAATGATCAAGGCAAAGATGAACGCAATGGGATGCCTTGCCAGATGCGAGGCGAGGCTCTACGGCTTCTCCATCACACTGACCAAGGACTGGATCAAGGATGCTCGGGATTATTTCAAAGTAAAGCTGAAGGATCTGAACGACGAGCAAGTCGCGTGAGTAACATATACGTGTGCATTCTGTTTGTGTGACTCTTGTTCTACATGGTTTACATAATTACTGTGCTATTCTATGCAGGGATGGTCGAGATCAAACCCGTGGATCAATTGGTGATTGCTATACGGGTAGCCAGTATAGGACGCTGCATCTTACTGTTCTGCGAAAAGAGCTCCTAGAGATCTGGTGGCGGACGCCTCCGTCACAAATCTCGCTTCCTCTCTGGAAGGCTCTGCAATTCCCGGTTATGATGCACCTCGGACACCAATTTCTCGGAAGAGGGTGCAGCATTCGAAAGATTCGCCTTGGGAACCTGTTTGTCCGCATGACGCGGAGCACATCACACCTCGACAACTATCTTGACGTTTTCGTACTCGTCGTTGTTTCCAGGAAGTCGAAGACCAACCCCAACAACAAGCTGAGTCATCAGTTTCTTGCAAGGCATAGGGACTGGCGGCTCTGCGGAATGGGCCATCTGTTCCTGTGGCTTCATTTCATCTACGACCTCGTTCCTCTGCGCTACGGCCCTGGTATCGTCGAGCCTCTCGACTTTTTTGAACCGATCTTGTGGACTAAAGCGCACCTCTTCTTTTCTTTGAAGAAGGGCGACCAGGGAAAGCAGAAGCAAGACAAGATGCACTACAAAACGCATAACACCTGGATTAAGTGGGCCATGACGAAGGCGAGATGGATTCTGAGCAAGGTGACACATGCATTCCGTAGATCCGGAGCGCAACAACTCCATGACGACGGTTGCTCCGACAACGATATCGGCACTCTGGGCGGATGGGCGCAGGGGGGGTTGCGGAGGTGTTATGTGTTCGGCATTCCGTTCAAGTCGGTTTGGCTGCTCGCAGGAATCAGCGGGGATCGTGGAGACTACTACATCGGCAGAGCCCGCGCCAAGCTTCCGCGGCATAAGGATAAGGAGAAGGATGAGTGGTTGCAGCTCTTGGATCTCTTAAGGCTTCACATTTTCCCCTGGGTCGAAGAGGGTTGGAAGAAGGTACGTGCTAGTGTACAGTCTTCGCGTTCGTAACTTAATTTTGATACGCAATTATGAACCGTCGCATTTCTCCTGCATACTCGTCCCGTCAGGTCGAAGAATGGAACGCTGCGCAGTCCGATCCGCTCAAGAGGCACTATGCGGGGGCGAGGTTCCTTGAGACCCTCGCGAGCATCGGACGCCTCGTTGTTGCACATGATCTGGCTATGATGTGGGCGTTCTGCCATCAGCACGGCGTGAGAAACCCGCGGTGCAATTGCGAGAGGCATCCATATGTGCAGATGAGCCCCTTGTGCAACCACCCGCTGTTCCAAAAGTGGGCGTACCTGGTCGCTATCTCTCACTTCCAGGGCGAGAAGCTTCGGGCAACCGGCCAAACCACCGCCAAAGCAGTAAGTGCCTGCTATTAGTGGTAGAGAGAGGGAGTTATTCGTTCATGCTGAGTTCTGCCGTGTTGGTTTCTGCAGGACGCTATCTTTCGCACGACCGCAGAAGAGAAGATGCAGAAGATGCACCTCACCGCCAATATGCTCAGGGAGGAGCTTGGGATTTTGAGAGGACGTGAAATGCAGTTGGCGATGGAGAACGCTGAACTGAGGGAGAAACTCGCCGCTGAGCGAGAGGACAAGGCTCGGGTCATTGCAGAGTTCGAAGCATACAAGAGGTCTGTTGCGGCCAGGGATGTCGCGGCAAACACCTCTGCAGAGATCGACGGATTGTCGAAGAGCGCGGGAACAGGAGCAAAGCAGGCAACGGACGCATCCAAAGCACCAGTTGCCGTGGAAGAATTCTTCGTCGTGGTCGTTGTGTCTTGGCGCGAAGCCACCACTATTGCTGCAGCTTGGAAAGTGTGGGTGCAGCCAAGCCTCATCATGGGCGGCATGTCACTGCGCGAAGTCTTTGCAGAGTTCGACCGGTATAAGAAGAAGGACAAGAATTCCAGCTTCATCACCGCATATTCCCGGTTCGCTTACAAAGGTACGCCCGGGATGGCTGTGGGTGCATGCGAGCGAAAGATGCGTCGCGTGCATCGTGTCATGGTTTCCGTGGAGACGCTAAGAAAAGACAGCTCCGAGGCGGCGACCGCAACGGCCATTAAGTTGCTGGACGAGGTTTTACTCCTGTGCAACTTCACGGAATTCACCAACGGCCTGGCGGTGCCGCATGAGACTCCGCCTATCAAGAAACAGAAGACTGGTTCGTCGATGGAAAATAGGACCGTCAACGACTTGGCGCAACGCAGAGTGGGCTGGCTGTTAGTCAAGAAGGGCCTTCGCGACCAGGAGTGGGCAACTTCGCTGTTTGGGGATGATGAGTGGGAGGAGATCCACAAGGAACACATGGCGCAGGAGAAGGCGGAAGAGGAGAAACAACGAACCGCTGCTGCGAAGAAGGCGGAACGGGAAAAGGCGAAGGGCGAAGCGTCGAAACGCTAGGAGCAGAAATGAGGGGGCATGTACCTTAAGGGTGGGGCGGTTTAGTTATTTGGGTACTTCATTCCGGTTGTACTGAATATGCAGTACAGGCACTTGTATGTCTCTGTAGAAGCCCGATTTGGGGCCTGTATGCCACCTTCTTCCCTGGACGCGCTGTTTTCGTAGAATGTTTTTCTGGTCTATGCATTGAAGCACACATCGATGTTATACATTCGGCAAGGTTCTGTATACGTTTTGGTATGCATAGGAATACCGTATACGCCTCTTAACAAGGTGCTCCCCAAGACAAGATGTTATGCGATTGTTTAGCCCCATACTTCTACCTCCTCGTAGAAGCCGAGTATTAATGTTAGATTAAGTGTCGTAGAAGGCCGTCCTGCCGTCAATTATTTATTCGGCTGACCCTCCCTTTGATGGCGAGTTCTATCGGCTGCATTGCCAACTCCATACGCGCCCTACAATTTTTGCGAGTGTAGTGAAGGTTTGCATAGCAAAAATACATCTCTCATTGTATTGTATACAACAACACCTATATTTATACACGGTGAAAAAAAAAAAAAACGGAAAGGAAAATCTATTTCTACTGCGGTACTAACAAGACCTCCAAAGAACCCGTCTGCCTCTATCACTCCTGGCCGCCAGCGCCGGTGTTCTCCATCGTCGACGCCTCCTTCGTCGCGTTCTTTTTCGCGGACGATTTCTTGGTTTTCTTCTCCTTATCCGCCCCTGTTGTGGTATCCCGGCTGCCCAACTTCTTCTGCAGCACTCCGAGGCAGACGCCCTGGTGCTGGCGAAGGCCTCTTGATGCCATGCTGCATAGGCACCAAGAGGTCACCACCTTTGCCACCACCCTCGTCATCCGCTTCGTATCCCCGGCCGCTCGCGACTCTGCCGGAAGTGCTTTCAGCAGCGCATTCGATAGGGGAAGAATCCAAGCTTCCTTGTCATGCTCCTGATCCTTGACCGACCGCATCGCCTCAACCGCAACGCACGCAACCGAGGCTGCAAGCGTGGCAAGGGCATCGAGGACGGCAGAGGACACATCGGCCGCAGAAGATGACGAGGCAGCCGACGAGGCCGTGGCAGCAGTGGACGATCTGGCAGCAGAAGATGCTATGGCAGTAGAAGTTCCACGTGCAGCTGTTGTTGCGCCCGTCTCCCACTGGGTCTGGTCCACATTCGTGGATGCGGCCCACATTACAGACAACGTGGCGGCAAGTCCGACTGCGTGTTCTTCCGTCGAATAGCCGTTTTCACCCTCCACGCCTCCCACCATCTTCTGCCACGCAGTTATTCTGACACCAGCGCAGGCAGCAACCTGAAAGCCATCCCCCTGCTGCTGCCGAAGAGCCGTGTTGGTTTGAACGAGTGAGAATCTGCACAAGACACCAGTGTCGCAAGATCAGAACCATCGAACTTCGCGGGTGTGATTCCTTGTGCGCCTCTGATTCCTTGTGAGGTTTGTCCATCACATAAACACTCACCCGTCCGGTTTGTCCAGGTGGAGTTCGTTGATGAGGCTCCACACCCCTTTTGGAAGCCGCGTTGTGAAGTCGAGGTCTTCCCGCCACTTGTTAATACGGTTTGGATTCATGCCGTATGCCTGCATGTCAATATCCGGGAAGTAGAACTTCCAGCAGACTGCGACCGTGTATGCCCTCTCCCACACCGTTTTGTCAGAGCCGAGGTTCCGCTTCCGGCCGCCGACGGTCTGCTCAGACGTCCACTTCTGCAAAGCTCCCTCGCCCCGTTGAGAGAACCCGCTTCCCTTGAACGGCAGGCAGACACCCAAAGTCTTACCCTTGTCGTCCACTACGGCGTTTTTCCTGTTGTCACACTTGTCGATCTTCATCCCCTTCTTTTCCCCTTGGATTATCGGTATCAACTCCTGTATACCAGCTGCACGCCGTCTCTTAGCCGCATGACCCTCCGGCTCCCTGTCCTCCTATCTAGGCCGCCTCCTGGACACCTCTACGTTCTGTTCGGGAACAATAGCCACGCCCTCTGCTACATTTGCCTCCCCGCTCTCAATCAACAGCAAACTCCCCAGGCCCTCAGCTATTTCCTCCTCGACTCCCTTCCAGGTCCCCTCCCCATGCATGGTCAAATCCTCCTCTTCCATCTCCCTTGCCAATCGTTCCGTCTCTTCAACCATCGCCTTTGCCTTTGCCTCCAGTTGCCGCTGCTGTTCCGCGAAGGATGCAAGTCTGGCCCTCTTCTCTGCTCGGCACTGCTCCGCCTTCTGCAGGCGCTCCATCTCCTGCTGTTTCGCCCTCTGCCGCCGCTCGGCCTCCTCTACCTCCTTCTTCTGCGCCTCCTCCTTCTGCAGGCGCTCCATCTCCTGCTGTTTCGCTCGCTGACGCCGCTCGGCCTCCTTTGCCTCCTTCTTCTGCGCCTCCTCCTTCTGCAGGCGCTCCATCTCCTGCTGTTTCGCCCGCTGCTGCCGCTCGGCCTCCTCTTCCTCCTTCTTCTGCGCCTCCTCCTTCTGCATGCGCTCCATCTCCTGCTCTTTCGCCCGCTGCCGCCGCTCGGCCTCCTCTGCCTCCTTCTTCTGCTCCTGCTCCTTCTGCAGGCGGTCCAATTCCTGCTGTTTCGCCCTCTGATGCCGCTCTACCTCCTCTGCCTCCTTCCTCTGCCTCTCCTCCTTCTGCAGGCGCGCCATCTCCTGCTGTTTCGCCCTCTCCACCCGCTCTCCTTCCTCTGCCTCCTTCCTCTGCGCCTCCTCATTTTGCCGGTGCTCCTTCTCCTGTTGTTTCTCCCTTTCCTCCCGATCGTCCTTCTCAGCCTCCTTCCTCTGCGCATCCTCCTTCTGTGGCCGATCTCCCTTCGTTGCCTTCCTACCCTGCTCCTCCTTTTGCCGCCGCTCTGCGTCCAATCTCAGAACTACTGACAGCCGCTTTTCCACCTCACTTAGCATCCCCTCCTTCCACCCCTTCATCCCCGTCTTCATCTCCTTCATAGCCTCCATTACCTCCTTCATTCCCGCCTCCACCTCCTTCTGCCATCGCTCTTCCTCCTGATGTTTCTTCTTCCTCCGCCGCTCTGTGGCCTCTACATCCTTCCTCTTCTCCTCCTCCTCCTTCCGCCATTGCTCGTCCAGTTGTTTCTTCTTCTGTCTCTCCTCGTCGTCCGCTACTTGTTTCCTCTTCGCGTCCTGCTGTTGTCGCCGCACCGCGTCCTCTTGCCTCGCCTTCTTCTGCCGCTCGGATTCTTCTCTCAAAACCGCGCTCAACCTCCCCACAATCTGGTTTACCATCCCATCCTTCATCTCCTTCATTTCTGCCTTCATCTCCTTCATCATCGCCTCCTTCATCTCCTTCATTCCCTCTCTCATCTCCTTCTGCCGACGCTCTTCCTCCTGCTGTCGTTCCTTCTTCCGTCTCTCTGCGGCGTCTGCTTCCTTCCTCGTGGCCTTCTGCCTCCGCTCCTCGTCCTGCAGTCTATCCCTGTTCCGCTGCTCAGAGTCTTCTCTCAGAACCTCTCTCAACCTCTCTTCCACCCCCTTTAACGTGCCCTCCGCCATCCCCCCTCCCGACTGGCGAACCTGATCACTCACCCTTATGATACTCTCTTGCAAGTTGGAGAGTCTCGTGTCCACCTGCTCGCGAAACCTGGTCGCCGTTTCAGCTTGGCGCCGCCGTTCCTCGTTTCCATGGCGGACTTCTTCCAGGTTGGCCAGGGCGTCGCGGCAGTAATGGACGGTCAGATCGGCCACGTCGCGACTGATGCTGCTGTTGCGGGTCGCCAAGTTGCAGAACGTCTGCGTCACCATTCGGGCTAAGAGCGTGAGACGACGTGTTACTTCTGCCGGGCTTATGTCCCAGCTTTCGGCCTCGACGAACCTGTCACCTTGTTCGACCAGGACTGTACTCGTCCGATGCAGCATCCGCCGTATTGCCGTCTCTGCCTCGACCCACTCTACCTGCCAAAACGCTTCTGCCACCCCGCCTTGGCCGAGATTCTTCTCCACTGTTCTCTGGTGAAGGGTAGGCCGCCTCTGCCTGTTGAGATCCACTGTATCCCTAGGCGCCCCATCATCTGCCACCCTCCATGGCCTCTCTACCCCGGTTCCTGGTCCCCGCGTCGGACTTAAACCCAAAAATATCCGGACTGCCGGATGTACCGTATCCTCCTCATTCTGCTCCTCTTCTGTTTCCAGCGCATCTCCCTCGTAGTGCCCCACTCCAGCCTCCGGGACCACACGAACCTCCTCCATAGTATTTTGACGCTCTGTCTCTGCCATGCTCTGCGTCTCTCGGTATGCGAATACCTGCGATGCTGCCTCCTTGTCGTGCTGCCCCTCTTCCTCTGCGTTGATGTGCCCCTCAGCACCCGCCGTCTCCCGTCCCTCTGTTAGTATCATTTTATTCCCATCTGAACCCTCCTCTCCATCTGGCTTCCTACGTCCGTCAGCCTCAGCCTGCTTCTGCTCCTCGGCCTCTAGCATCTTCTGCGCCTCACCCTCCGCCTTCTGCCGCGCCTCTACAACAGCCTTCTTCCGCGCTTCTGCCCGAGCCAGTTGTAGTGCCTCTTCCGCAGCCTGTTTCTGCTCCTCTGCCTCCGCCTTCTGCCGCGCGGCTGCCTCAGATTCCTTCTGCGCCTCTGCCTCAACCATTTTCGGCGCCGCACCCTCCTCCTTCTGCTGCGCCGTTGCATCAGATTCCTTCTGCGCCTCTGCCTCAACCATCTTCGGCGCCGCACCCTCCTTCTGCTGCGCCGCTGCATCAGATTCCTTCTGCGCCTCTGCCTCAACCATTTTCGGCGCCGCACCCTCCTTCTGCTGCGCCGCTGCATCAGATTCCTTCTGCGCCTCTGCCTCAACCATTTTCGGCGCCGCACCCTCCTCCTTCTGCTGCGCCGCTGCATCAGATTCTTTCTGCGCCTCTGCCTCAACCATCTTCGGCGCCGCACCCTCCTCCTTCTGCTGTGCCGCTGCCTCATCCTTCTGGCTCGCCGTTGCCTCTGATTCCTTCTGCGCCACTGCCTCCACCACCTGCAGCTCGACTGCCTCCGACGTCAGCTCTGCTGTTGCACCCGCTTCTTTACGCGCGACTGCCTCTGCACTCATGACCGCCTCTGCACCCACCTTCTGCTGCGCCGCAGCTTCTGCTTCCTTTGGCGTCCCGTCCTCTGCCGTAAGTGCCGCCTCTGCATCGACGAACCGATGGGCCGCATCCTCTGCATTCTGGTCCACCTCTACCTCCGCCATCTTATGAGCCTTTGCACCCGCGTTGCTCTGCGCCTTCCTTTTCGCCTCTCCCGAATTCTCTGCCACGTCGACGTCCCCTCTCCGGGCCTCTTCTGCCGCCTTCCGCTTTACGCTGGGCAAGCGAACTTCCACGTATCCCCTATCCTCCTCGATATGCTGCCGCGCATTACTGGCGAGCTCCTCTCCTGCCTCTCCCACGTGTGCCCTTGCAGCGGCTCGTGCCCCACGCTCCCATGCTTCACGTATGTCTCCAGTTCCCGGGAAAGAGACGGTAGGATCGGTGTCGCCATCACTGCGCCGTTGCATCTCTTCAGCCCGTCTCCTCTTGGCTTCTGCTTCGCCCATCCGCTTATCATCAGCCGCCTTCCTCCACTGCTCCTCTGCCTGTTCTACCTGACTTGGCAGTTGTGGATCTTCTACACCCTCCTCGCCTTCATCTGCTACACTTGCCAAGTCGATCTCCGTCCGTGCTTCGCGTTCCGGCGGCCTCCTAACCCGATCAGCAAACCTGAGCTGCCTAACTCCAGACCTAGCACGCTCGTCCGCACGGGCTGACCTTGATGTCGGGCCACTCAGTAGTGCACCCCCTGGTGCAGGTCGGCGGGAATATGAAATTTCCCCCACTCTTGGATTTGCGTCCCGGTTTGCGGCAGGTACGTCTCTCTGTCCCTCTACCGCTTCGGATCTGTTCTGTGCCGCCGGCTCCATGGTATTCCCGGACCGTTCCGGTGCGCTCTCTACCACTCGAGCCTCATGGGTCGTCATGACTGCATCCGGGGCGGGACGGAGCTGGACTCCTTGCAGGTCGAAGAAGGCCCTGTAGGTCGACTCCAGCATACTCCGAATTTTTTTCGCGCTGTTTTTCCCCTTCCCTAAGGCCATCATCGGCTCTACAGTTTGAATCGCCATGACATCCCCCCATTTGTCCAGCAACTTGCTGAACAGATGGGTTACGTGCAGCCCGGAACCCACTTGCCTCTGTCCCTGAACCTTGTTGATCTGCAACATGTGCGTGAAAAGGTGGTTGTCAGACACTCCCGTAACTTTTTACAAGCTTAATTTGATACAACGTTGAAATCATAAAAATAGAGGCTCCTTACCCTGCCTTCCTCCAGAATCAGATCATCTAGGCGAGCCCTCAAATCTTTCTGCACCGCTTCGGCGTGGCTGCCAGAGACCCTGCGACCTCGGCTGTATTCCACATCTAGTTGTCGAATAAGCCAGCTGCAGGGCAAGGGGGTCGCAAATAATCAATAACATGCGTCCATACAAACCGCACATCTGATTAAGGAGTGATACTTACTCGAACACCTCCTTGGCATGGTCGCTGTGGCGATGGGTTGGGATTGCAGATTTAGGGTCGAAGTGTAGCACACGCGTACGGTACTCTCCGCGGGGATGTGCTAACAAATCTTGCGGGTTCATCAGCACCATGAGACTGATCGCCGTCGAGTGAACAACAGGGACTCTGCGGTACATCGAAGTTTGGATTAGCAAGATAAGCTGGTGTCATCGACAGACGCTGCGGATCCATGTCAGGAAACTCACTCTGATATCATGGGTATTAAAACCATCTGGTAGTCCAACAGCGACCGATGTTCGCTGCCACAACTGGGGACACGCGGGACGGCAGACCTCAAACGCCGATGCTCAGTAGAAGCCAGAATCTTTATGTCCCTGCGAACGCGAGGATCCCCAATCTTGTCCTTGGCAACCTCCCTGCATCCAAGCCGACATGTCGCAGAGGTAAGAAGATCGCAGGTGCCTGTCTAAAAAAACAAGGGTTCAACGTGCCGATGAAGTCGGCGTGCGTTACAAACCGCGCTTGGATACATACACAAGGCCGAAAAGTAACAACGCCTCGTTCCACTCTTCCTGACGAGCGATTAACCTTTCATAAGACTCCCGCCCTAGTCGTACAGACAATCCGCAGCCGTCTGTGATTAGCTGGGACGACATCGCGTAAGTATGCCAGAAGATGCCAGGTAGCTACACGGTTACTACCATACACTGTCCGCCTGCAGGATTTGAGGCCGACACTAGAATGAGAGGGAAGCTTGTGAGGCTAGTTGTGGAACCTAGACTCAGATTGGAATGGCGAGAATGACGTTGAGCTCTCGTCCTCACAGAAGGTTGTGCTCTCGTCCTCACAGAAGGTGGGAAAGGCTTTGCTACAAACGCCAGGCGTAGTAAGAATTTTCTGCCCCCTAAATCAAAATATTAGGCTTCTCACCGTTTCCCTTCAAACATCTGCGAACTACTCTTTGCATCCTTCTGCAATGATTGGCCTATTTGTCGCCAGATTGTTCTCCTAAATGTTCTACTTCAGTTGCTGGTTGGTTGATTGCCAACCTTACATGCCATGTTAGCATATTGCATGTTCTGCGGTGGATTGCATGGTCTCAGCTTTGCCTCGACCTTGTACGAAATGGTGACGGGCAGCCCCTAAAATAAAAGAATGGTATCCTGTGATAGGTTCATGACAGGCTGCCACGTATAAATATCCCATCCGCATGGTTCCCTCCGCAACGTCAAAATAGAGCAGTCTCTGCGACCTGTCACACGTGTCAGAAACCGAATGACACCCTATATCCGAGAGTACCGCTATAGGGGTACTCGCGTAGCACGTATAGTACTAGTTTTTGTAACCCATAAAACAAACACAAGCATGAACTTTGCATGATTAGCACACCCAATTCTAAAACGGATAATCCTATAAGTGTGAGATGAGTGCCCTATCATTAGCACCCGTATAACAGTGGCATTTAAATACAAAACAAATGTTGTACATTTCACAAAAGTGATCAGCTCCCGCCTGCAGAGAAGAGCATTAAAAACTTACTAAACGTCTACAAAATGACGTGAATTTCAGGTGGGGGTCTGGAATATGTGTCGTGAGAGTCCCCTATAAAAATCAGCTCATTTGCCCATGGAGAATTGGGTGATTTCAGTTGCAACCTGATGCCAGGCAATTCTGCACAGAATTCTGCAGACTGCTGCACAACAAGGCTTAAAAAACATATCAAACCTTGGGTAAATTAGATGAATTTCAGGTGGGGGTCTGGAATATGTGTGCTAAGAGTCCCCTATAAAAATCAGCACATTTACCCAAGGAGAAGTGGGTGATTTCAGTTGCAACCTGATGCCAGGCAATTCTGCACAGAATTCTGCAGACTGCTGCACAAAAAGGCTTAAAAACCACATCCAACCTTGGGCAAATAATATGAATTTCTGATGGGAGTCTGGAATATGTGTGATGAGAGTTCCCTTTAAAAATCAGCTCATTTTCTCAGGGATAGGTGGGTGATTTCAGCTGCAAACTGATTCAAGGCAATTCTGCACAGAATTCTGCAGACTGCTGCACAACAAGGCCTAAAATCCATATCAAACCTTGGGAAAATGAAGTGAATTTCAGGTGGGGGTCTGGAATATGTGTGGTGAGAGTCCCCTATAAAAATCAGCTCATTTGCTTAAGTAGAATTGGGTGATTTCAATTGAAACCTGATTCCAGGCAATTCTGCACAGAATTCTGCAGACTGCTGCACAACAAGGCTTAAAATCCATATCAAAACTTGGGAAAATGAGATGAATTTCAGGTGGGGATCTGGAATATGTGTGTTGAGATTCCCCTATAAACATCAGCTCATTTGCTCAAGGAGAAGTGGGTGATTTCAATTGAAACCTGATTCCAGGAAATTCTGCACAGAATTCTGCAGACTTCTGCTCAACAAGGCTTAAAAAACATATCAAACCTTGGGTAAATTAGATGAATTTCAGGTGGGGGTCGGGAATATGTGTGGTGAGAGTCCCCTATAAAAGTCAGCTCATTTGCTCAAGGTAAAGTGGGTGATTTCAACTGAAACCTGATTCCAGGAAATTCTGCACAGAATTCTGCAGACTGCTGCACAACAAGGCTTAAAAAACATATCAAACCTTGGGTAAATGAGGTGAATTTCAGGTGGGGGTCTGGAATATGTGTTTTGAGAGTCCCCTATAAAAATCAGCTCATTTTCTCAAGGAAAAGTGGGTGAGTTCAATTGAAACCTGATTCCAGGAAATTCTGCACATAATTCTGCAGACTGCTGCACAACAAGGCTTAAAAAACATATCAAACCTTGGGTAAATTGGGTGAATTTCAGGTGGGAGTCTGGAATATGTGTGGTGAAAGTCCCCTATAAAAATCAGCTCATTTTCTCAAGGAGAAGTGGGTGATCACAATTGAAACCTGATTCCTGACAATTCTGCACAGAATTCTGCAGACTGCTGCACAACAAGGCTTAAAAACCATATCAAACCTTGGGCAAATAAGGTGAATTTCAGGTGGGGGTCTGGGATATTTGTTATGAGTGTCCCCTGTGAAAATCAGATCAGTTGCCCAAGGCAAAGTGGTTGATTTCACAAGAAACATGGTTCCAGGCATTTCTGCACAGATTTCTGCACCCGCCTGCAGAATATAACATGAAAAGCATGGCAAACCTTGATGAAATGAAGTGAAAACTGGATAGGGATCAGGAATAGGTGTTATGACAGTGCCCTATCAAAATGGGCTCATTTGCCCAAGGAGAAGTGGGTGATTTCACCAGACACATAACAGCAGGCAACTCAGCACTAACTTCCTTGCAAGAAGTCCACCAAATCAGTTTGCATATAGCTGAAAATGTTCAGGGGGGGCTGGAACAGGTGTCATAACACTAACAATGCAAAAAAATATGGTCACCACATAACACATGTGTGTGATGCCCAGAGAATGACTTTACATGTGCTACGAGCAACCTTAGTTGACCCAAAAGTGACAAAATGTAACAAATTTGACAAATTAACAACCTCATTCCCGCTGGTAGAGGACACCAAGGAGATGCTGGAAATTCATATTTGTGTGCAAATGACCAACAAATTATGGAGTTATGAGCCAAACCATATAGAATTTTGACTTAGCCATTTTGACTTTCTGCTTGTCAGAATTACACCGAAGTGTCAACAACAAAGTTTATATACAAATACTGTAGAACAGTGGTTGCGACGTCGCTTTCGTGCGGTAGTGTAACCACTCTTGCGCCCATTTCGTTGCGCCATCAGGTGGTTTGGATTTTGTAAGGGATTCGCCCACACCCCTCCATTCGCGTTCCTCCCATCGCGCGTCTCCCGTCGCCTGCCTCGCGGCGTCCCTCACATGGTGACTTAGGGCGTGTCTCGTTTTTGACGCTGACGGTTCGAACCGTGGATCGTCCGGCTCGCGAAAAAGTTACCTTTTTCGCATTGATTCGCAACTTTTTCGCGGTGGTCTTCGCGATTTCGCCCACTGTTCGAAACGTCACATCACTTTTCCCTCCAAGCAACGGTTCACAATGTGGACCTTTGTCAGTTCGAAAAGCAAACGGACGGAGCTCCATCTCTGACATCTGATTGGAGCACGAAAAAGCGAAAAAAAACACCGAGCCGCATCTCCAACAAAATTTTGGGCGCGCGGCGCCAAATAGAACATTGAACCGTAGACACCCCCACTACCCCTGCTACACTACAAAGACGAGTCCATTTCGAACCGAACCACCACAATCAGCACAGCACGCAATGGAGCAGTCCAGCGGAAATGAGAACTATGGACCGGCAAACACCACACCCAAGACCTCCGTCCCTAGTACCTCTACCCAACCTGAATTGGTGTCATATAGCCTCCGTAGAAGGTTGACGATTGGCTTTCAGGGGGCATCGAGCCGCGACCTGGCTATGCGAAGTTGGCGATGGGGTGTGACTGAGGTTATGTGAGTGTACGATGCTTGGCGATGCTACAATACTTCGGAATACTGATGCACTCGGGAAAGTGATGCTTTTTCCTTCGTACTGTCCAATGTTTCGAAATTTTGAATCGGACTGTCCGAAACTCGCTATTGCAACTGTCCGTTTACATACAACCGGACAGTCCGTCAAAATCCATAAAAGCAAAAAAGAGACACGCCCTTATTCTCGCTCTCTCCCGCCACAAGCGACCCAGCGCTCACCGCCACAAGCGACCCAGCGCTCACCGCATTCACTCCATATCTCGTCAACACGCGCTATCGCCACATACTTTTCTCCCTTCTTCGCGCTTCATCATCCCTCGAGGTCCCGTCCTCTGCGCTTCACGACGCCTGCCGCGTCGTGCTTGCTGCTATCGTCCCGCCCCCACCGGTTCGCCCGCCGTACCATACGCGCGTGGGCGCCACACCAATGGCCGTCGCCGCGCCTAGTAACCACCACCAGCGCGGGCGGCACCGTCGCGTACCACGCACGAGGGCGGCCCCTCAACCTTGCTTCCCGCTGCACTCGCCATCGCCCGCCCATCTCCGTCGCCGTCGACGATCTCCGCCGTCGCCGATCTCCGCCGTCGCCATGCAGCGCCGCGCTCATGCTGCTCCGCGATCCGCGTTCCGCGTGGCGGCGAGCGTCGCGCTCGTCGCAGCCGTGCTATTGGCGGCCGCGAACGGCGCAGCGAGTCGCAAGCCCAGCATGACGATCGCGTTTATCAGATACGACATGCCGGAGAACCCCGTCGCCTGGGAGCCCACGGACCAGTTGATGATGTTCCACCAGTCCCTGTGCCAGAACTGGCGGCGCTGCCTGCCAATGCGGACTTGAACGTGACTTGGGAAGACCCGCGCTACGCGCCGCCCATTTGCCGCAGCCTGGCCTTCCACCCCGCGGACGGGTGCGGGGGGAGTCCGTTCCGCACGCTCGTCCGCCCCGCTGACTACCGAGAAAGATCCGCCTGGTGACGCCCACTCTTCCTCCCAGCAGCTGTTCTCATTTGCTCTTTTCCCCGTTACTTGCCTCTTGTTTCGTTCGTGAACACGTCAGGAACGGGGTGACTCCTCACCTCTCCTCTCGCCCTCCCTGCCCACTCTCGCCCTCTCGCTGCCGCCAGGCGGATCCCTGCTGCCCAGCTGCCTGCATCGGTCAAATGCGAGTTGGGTGAGTGCAGCATGCCATGATGCGAGTTGGATGAGTGCAGCATGCCATGATGCGAGTTGGATGAGTGCAGCATGCCATGATGCGAGTTGGATGAGTGCAGCATGCCATGATGCGAGTTGGGTGAGTGCAGCATGCCATGATGCGAGTGTTCTACTCATCTGTTCATCCTGGACTGGATTAATCGACTCTTCATCCCATACTCCCCCTTTTCCTCAACCCCCCTCACCTCGCATCCCGCTTCCCGCCGCCCCTCCCTCCCCAACGACCCACGGTGCGCGAAAGACTGCCCTGCGGGGGGGGCTGTGAGCTGCAGGTCAGTGGCGGTGTGCACCGTGAGAGGCGGCCAATCCCAGTGCGTGTGCCCCGGCGCTCAAGCCTACAGTGCCGCTGACAAGCAGTGCCGCGGTGAGTGCTGTGTGGTTGCTAGGGTAGAAACCAACTTGATTTAACCGATTCGGCTGCAAGCTGGCTGTAATTAGAAAGAAGCGTTCACTGTTGTGCTGTGCGTGGGTTCGTTGGCGTCGCAAGAAGCATTTCACAACTCCTTGAGGGATCAGTGCATGGTAAGCAGCACAACAAGGCATGGGTGAGGCGCGGTGTGCATGATGGTCATGAAGAGCGAGCGCGTTATCCGTCGTGCCAACCAAGGCCGTGCTTCTGCCATTCGAACACGGAGTTGCTTTTCCGGGGAGACATGTTCCCCCTTCTTTCCAACAACCACTGCCCTTTTCCCTCCCATCCTCTCCCACCTTTTGAATTCGATCCCTCCATGCCATGCCACTGAAGCATGCAAGCAGGACTGTGGGATGGCTGTGTGTGCTGTCAAGGACAAGGCAGCGCAGTGCGTGTGCCCGGGGGATCTCGTCTTTGACTCCGCCACCACCACATGCAAAGGTGGGCGCTCAAATGCAGTACAGTGGTGAGCTGAGCGCTGCTAACCATCACCATCATACCCATACCATCCATCTGCATCCTCCTGAATCCGTTTGCTTTCATTATGGGTGACACTGCATCGGTAAGTGCTGGGAGGGCTACACTAAGATGGGGGGTTGTTGTGACGCGCTAGTTGGGTGCTCGAGGCTTGTCCCCTATATCCCACGTTCCCGCCCCACGCTGACCTGCTTTGAACCCCTTCCCTGCTTGCTTCCACGCGCTGCCCCTCGGCAGAGCGGAACCCCTGCGATGGGAAGGTGTGTTGAGAACGCGCATTGCGTGGTGAGGGGTAAGGAAGGCGTGTGCGACTGTGATCAGGGCTACACCTTGCGGGGAGGCGTTTGCAGTGGTGAGCTAATTGCGTGTTCCTTGTTGCGGGGTCGAGGGGCATCCTCGTCTCCATTGCATCTCACTCTCTGCCTCTTACCTTCTGATATTCGCTCCCCTTATTCGTCCCTCTCTCCCTCCCTTCCCGCCCCTCCCCCCTGCGTGCACACCAGACGCCCCAAGCACCTGTGCGCACTGCCCGCCCCAAGCACCTTTGCGCACTGCCCGCCCCAAGCACCTGTGCGCACTGCCCGCCCCAAGCACCTGTGCGCACTGCCCGCCCCAAGCACCTGTGCGCACTGCCCGCCCCAAGCACCTGTGCGCACTGCCCGCCCCAAGCACCTGTGCGCACTGCCCGCCCCAAGCACCTGTGCGCACTGTCCGCCGGGCTCGCGGTGCCAGTGGAAGGACTTTGGAGTCGTCTGCGTGCGCTGCGAAAACTGCGGGGGTCAGCATGCACATCCCTCTTGCCTCACTCTCACGCGAACCCTAACACCCCTATCACTCTCACCTCACCATCTCTCTTGCTGATCGCCTGCATTTCTCCATCATCTCTCCGCCCTTATTCCCTTTCTGTACCTGTGTGCTGGTGGGGGCGAGAGACAGATAGGCAGAGAGTCAGATACAGATCATGACTGTCGCAAAACTTTGACTTGACTTCCTCCGTGCTTCTCCAGGCGAGGACGACGCTGACCCCTGTGACAACTTCAACTGCGATGCCGAGGACGAGTGGCGGCAGTGCATTGTGAGGAACAACGAACCAGAGTGCGAATGCAAGGCGGGGTACACTGAGATCAATGGCGACTGCACTGGTGAGCTGAAGGAGGCAGCGCGTGAGGTGCCTCGACGGTTGTTGTGGCATCACACACTCTCCTCACCCCTATATCACCTCAATCCCAACTCACCTCAACCTCAAACGCACACTTTCTACTTCCTCTCCCGCTCTCATTTCACTTCTGCTCTCGTTATCGGCTCAATCGCCTCTTTCAATCGTCGTTCATATCTGTTACCGACCGCTGACCGGAGCTTGACCGGCTGACAGGAGCTTGACCGGCGGTGGGAGCGCAACAGATGGCTCGACCGGTGGTGGGAGCGCAACAGATGGCTCGACCGGTGGTGGGAGCGCAACAGATGGCTCGATCGGTGGTGGGAGCGCAACAGGTGGCTCGACCGGTGGTGGGAGCGCAACAGGTGGCTCGACCGGTGGTGGGAGCGCAACAGGTGGGTCGCTCACACACACCCTCACACTCACTCAATCTGACTGTCACGTCTCACCTCTTCTCACTCACGCTATTTGTTTGTCTATTTTTTTTCCTCACATTCTCACATACTCAGCCTCACACACTCACACACACTCTCGCTCGCTTTCGCCCTCATTCTCACTCTCACAGTACTCTCACTATTACTCTCACTTCTCACACTCTCAATGTCGCTGTCACATCCACCTCGCTTTACTCTCACTCTCAACCCCACCGTCTGTCGTGTTAACTGTGTGCACGCTTCCTCCTCTCCTATTTGTTTCCCGCTTCTCCAGACACGAGCGCCCCAGTCGCTGACCCCTGTGGTGGAGCGTGCGAGGGCAATAGGGAGTGCGTGGAAGGGGTGTGCAAGTGCAAGGCGGGGTACACTGAGTTCAGTGGCGCCTGCACTGGTGAGCTGAAGACTAGAGTGCTTGAGGTGGCTCAATGGTTTCTTGCTGGGTGTTTAATAGGCGCCTTGGGGTGTGAGTAAGGGTTGGCTGTTGCTTAGCAGTGGATCAGCGTCCCATGCCCCGGTCACATCACGGCTTGCTTCACCGTTTATCATGCCACTTCGCTACACATAACCACAATCTCACAACTCTAATTCCCTCCATACTTCTCCACGCACAGGCAACCCAGGCGCTGAACCCAAGAGCGGTACCGGCTACACCATGCTGGGGAACGGCACGTGCACGCGTGAGTGGCCTGGGTGACGGGAAGTGAGTGGTTGCCCTGGGGTTGAGTCGCGCCCTTCGCTTGTCTTACTCTCCTCTCGCACCTTGCTCATGCCACACTCACACGCGGCTCTCGTTCATCGCTCGCTGCCAAGAGTGCCACCTCCTTCACCGCAAGTGGTTGGTTTCAATCATGAGCATCCCTAGGTGGAAGGTTATTGGTCTCATCTTATTCTCACTCCCGATCTCAACCCGCTCTCGCCCTACCTGCTCTCGCAACCGTGACGCTCTCGCAACCGTGACGCTCTCGCAACCGTGACGCTCTCGCAACCGTGACGCTCTCGCAACCATGACGCTCTCGCGACCGTGACGCTCTCGCGACCGTGACACTCTCGCAACCGTGAAGCCCTCCCAACCATGAAGCCCTCCCAACCGTGACGCTCTCACAACCGTGACGCTCTCGCAACCGTGTCCCCCTCCGTGTTGCCCCACGCATGAACGCCCCAGTTGCTGACCCCTGTGGTGGAAGAGTGTGCGAGGGCAACCGGCAGTGCGTGCCAAGGAACGGGCAAGGGGTGTGCGAGTGCCGTGGCGGGTACACTGAGATGGACGGCGTGTGCAGTGGTGAGGTGACGCAGGAAGTGGGTGGCGTCTCTAAGACATCTCACATCCATCGCACTCCCTCCTCACCTTCATCTCACCTCTTGCTCAACTCACTGTGTCACACATCACACTCTTCTCACTATGTCACACATCACACTCTTCACTGATCTCCTCTCCATTTCATCACATGTCGTGAATTGTTATTGCCTCTCCTCCTCTTTCTCATCCTCCGTCTCTTCATCTTCCTCCTACTGCTGTTTAATCACATTGACAATCTCGCTCGCCCTTCTACTACCATTCCACTCATCGTGCTCCCAACATGCCTCTTGCCCCTCTCATCCCACCCACCCGGCCTGTGCCAGCCGTGTGCAGCCCAGCATGCTCCCTCTACGCCTCCTGCCAGGTGGACAATGGCACGGCGGGGTGCAAGTGCGATGCTGGCTACACCATGCTGGGGAACGGCGAGTGCACTCGTGAGTGCCTGGGGGTGAATTGGCATACCGTCATACCCCGGATATACCCCCATGGGGGGCAATAATAAAACAGGTTTTTTTTTGGGGGTGGGCTTATAATCGAGTAAATTTATAAGCGCCGGCGTTTATAAAATGACATACATATATATATATATTTATGTTTTTTAACACCAAGCTGTAGATCTCGTGCTTGCCTTTTCAATTAGTCGAAGTTACATGGGGTCGTCTGTGAAATTCTCGCGCGCGCTGGGAGATACACCCAATCTGACTCACAGCCAGCTCCTGACAGCTCCTGACAGCTCATGCTGACTGGACCCGCATCCAGTGCAGGGTCCGAATGTGAAGGGAACTGAATCTGCAAAACATTCGCCTGCTAAAGTAGATATCATTACAGAGTTTTGAACACATTTCAAAAATTAAAAGTTTACGTGCGCTTATAATAAAACACGTTTTTCCAGGGGGTGCGTTTATAATCGAGCAGCGGATATAAGCGCCATGCACCAATTAAAAGCGCCAGGCGCTTATCCGAGGGTGGCGCTTATATCCGGGGTATGACGGTACCTTTCTTACCATTTGTCTCTCATGAATATGTCTCTTCCTCTCTCACTGCATGGTCATCACACTGAGATATGGGCTTACCCTGGTGTATCTGTGACAGCCTGTCGTCATCCATCATCGTTGTTCATCGCTGTCCATGTCCTCGTTGTCTTTCATCGTTGTTTCTTCTTCTTGTCCTGCCAATCATCTCCATCTCTCCTTCCCTTCTCGTCTCCACTCAATGCTGTCTCTTTTTCTGTCCTCCTCCATGCCTCGCTCGCCCCTCTGCCCACACTGTGACAGCCGCATGCAGCCCGCCATGCTCTGGGGAGACCACCTGCCAGGTGGATAATGGGATTGGCGTGTGCAGGTGCAGCGCGGGGTACACCTTGCTGAGCAACGGCCAGTGCAAGGGTGAGTACCGGGGGAGATGTGCGAGTGATGCCCTTGTATCACACATGCCGTTGCGTTACACATGCCCTTGTGTTTCACATGCCCTTGTGTTTCACATGCCCTTGTGTTTCACATGCCCTTGTGTTTCACATGCCCTTGACTTGCTTTTCTCTCGGCCTGGCACCGTGGCTTGACTTACTCATGGCCTCTCACTTTCCTCTCACTTTCATCTCACTTTCAACTGCAACTCAATCTCACAGCTTCCTCAGATTCATCGGCACCTACAGTGTTCTCAGCCCTGCGCGTGCCATCTTGCACTTGCGCTCCACTCATATGTCATGTGCGCTCCGTGTTTTGACATTCAGCATGTTCTCATGTCTCAACATTCAGTCTCTCCCTCTCCCTCGTCTCCTCTGCCGGTTACTCGCCCCTCTGACCTCGCCCCTCTGACCTCGCCCCTCTGACCTCGCCCCTCTGACCTCGCCCCTCTGACCTCGCCCCTCTGACCTCGCCCCTCTGACCTCGCCCCTCTGACCTCGCCCCTCTGACCTCGCCCCTCTGACCTCGCCCCTCTGACCTCGCCCCTCTGACCTCGCCCCTCTGACCTCTCCCCTCTGACCTCGTGCCTCTGACCTCTCCCCTCTGACCTCGCCCTTCTGTCCTCGCCCCTCTGACCTCTCCCCTCTGACCTCGCTCCTACTGCAGCTGTGTGCAAGCGTGCATGCAAAGCCAAGGCTGAGTGTGTGGTGGTGGACGGCCACTCAGTGTGCCGCTGCAAGCAGGGATACATGTTGAAGAGGAACAGCTGTATGCGCCGAGGAGGGCAGGCCAGGTGACGGGGTGCCTGAATCGCCGAATACGGTGAGTTAGTGGTCGGTATTCGTTTCCCTTTTTCTAGCCATCTTTCTCCCCAACTCCCTACAGAAGCGTGTGACCCAGCACAAGTCACACCCCTTGCCGTTTCGATAACATGCATTCACAGTTGTCTTGATCTCTCCCCTTTCCATCCATCAACCTTCGCCTACAGCAAACGACACAGGAGCCTAATATACTCTGCTGACAAATCTTTCTTCCATGCTGCACATTCCATCGCATTTCCTTCACTCTTTCCTGTGGGGCGCAGCGCTGGGAGGAGCGGCAGCGGAGGGCTGATGGGATAGGCGAGTGAGGTTGCACCTCGCCTAGCCTTGATCCCAGCGTGCTCAGCATCGACCTCCCTTGGGTGCTGCCTTGTAAGGAACCTCTTCTGTTGCAAGAGGTAAAAAAAAATCTTGTTTTCCTGTTTCCGTGGGATTGTCTTCGTAATAGTTTGTCAGAAATGTCTTCTATATATTTGTATGGTTGTCTGTACCAGTCTGTAGAGTACCATCCTTCTGGTGGTGCACCTTGCAGCCGTGCCCTATCTTGTTTGTACAGTACTTGTTCTCTTCCCTCCATAGCAAAACCTTTTTTTCTTCTCATCAAACTTCTGCCATACAGCCACGCCCCCAGAACCAGAAGTCCGGCTTTTTTTTTTCGGTGGCACTGTTTTTTCAGCCTTTTTTGTGTACTAACATTTATCAATCAGCCAACCTCAAAACGAATCTGAGGCCCTGGAACCAATCATTCTGCTTGCAAGGAAGCTGCATGTTTCGCAAACAATGATGTTGCAATTGTGGCAACTTTGGAATGGCATGCTTTCATGCATGAAACGGATGAAGCTGCACTGCACTGTGTGACCATACAATCAAGCAGATCTGATCGCAAACACGAAGCTGACATACGGTAGTGAGAAAGAAACGGAAGATGAGTAGCGGGGGTTGCTGGAAAGGAGCAGAACAGGCTCAAACGCGAGTTGTGTCACGGTTGACCTGCCCGGCGCTGCTTGAATCGTGACAGAGGCCTTGCTGGTGCTGGTGCCTGGGGGGATGTGGGGCTCGGGGAGAACATGAGAGTGAGAAAATGGAGCAGATTGAGAGAATTGTTGGAAACAATAAGTCCTAAGTGCGCTTCTGTCGTATCAAAATCCAAGGCACCAAGCGAAGCAGTTCCAATCGAAGCATCGAGTCAACCTCGGAGGTTAGGTTAACCGCCTGGAGGTTACGAGAAAGTCAAAGGTCGCTGACCTTTGACTCGACAATTACAGCGCGACAGTTAAGGACACACAACTGAACTCGTTACAGAGCAGCTGCCCGAGTCGCACTGTATCGAACCGCAACAGCAATACAGTTATCTATCTATCTATTCGTATTCCCTGTACTCTTATATAAATCCTTGTATTTGCTTGTTTAATTCAATCTACTTTGCTCTCACACACCAGTGCAAGGTCGGTTCACAATCCTCATTAAACGCTTCCGCTATTACAAGTTTCCTACCCAAGAGTTTTCATCTGCAAAAGATCCTAAGGGCTATTTTTTCAGCCCAACATGGTATGAGAGCTGACAGGGGAAAACTCTAACTTTTGATCATTACAAAGACATGGCAACAAACAAGGAAAGGAGCTCCCCTAATGGCTCCTCGGGCACTACTCCTACTCCACCGCCAGCCTCTGGCCTGCAGACAGAGGAAGGCGCGACAGCAAGACCAAGGGGAACGTCAACCGAGACCCCCACGAACCATCCTTCTGACTTCGACCAGAGCATGATGGAGAAATTTTTCTCCTTCATGTCCTTCTACGAGCAACACCAGCAGTCGGGACCTGCACAGACACACAACAGCAACAACGGAGCGACACCCATGAGCCTTGACGGGTCGTCATACGCGCGAGGGAATCAACAGCAGCAACCCACCTTCGCCCCGTACGAACGCGGGTCGATCAGCTTCCTGCCTCAACCTCCACCTGCGCAAGACAAACCAATGGATGCCTTACAAGTACAGTCGCAGTTCGCGCATGTTCTGAAACTACAGACGTCAAGACCTTTCGACGGAAAGGACTTCTTTACCTGGTCCTTTGAATTCGAGTTGATGATGGAGGGCGCGCAGATACTCGGCTTCTTCGACGGATCCCTGCAGTATCCAGCAAACGGGACACAGTATGAAAAGCAGCAGTATACGTACCAATCCATGATGGCGTATACTATTTTACTGAGAAACATCACACCAACCCAGCAGCAGAACATTCGCTCTTACCGGAACTTCGGCAACTCGGCGGAACTCGCGTACGGCCATCTGAAGAACCTGTACCAGGCAACAGACAGTGTAAACCAGAGCAGGTTAATGGCGCAGCTGACAACAGTTGAAATGAAACCAGGAGAAAAAGGGTTGGCGTATATCAGCCGATGTCGCGAATTGCGCGACAAGCTTCTTCGATGTGGAGGGTCAATCTCTGAAGACGCCTTCGTAACAGTCGTCATCGGCGGCCTCGGTCCTCAGTGGCGCGCCACCAAAGCAATTCTTCGAGCACACGGGAGGATCTCCGAAGCGGCACTTTGCGCAGAAATTCACGCCGAGCAGCAGGATATGGACCTGCAAGAAGAAAGACACAAGAAAAGGACATTAGCACCGGAGTTTGCTTTCCATACTCAGCGACGACACAACTACTACAACAATTGACAGCAGCAGCCAAAGCTAGTACCTCCATTTTGTCACATCTGCAAGACATCAGGACACCCACGCACGCACTGCCCGTCTCGACAGACAACACCACAGCGACAACTGCGGCCTTCAAGCACCCAAGTTGCTTCGACACAAGCAAGCTCGACAACCACGATTCAAGCTTCAACAACCTCAACTGGACAACCTGCGCAAGGAGCAAGACATATAGTCAACTGCATGGTCAAGATAAACGACTCTTGCATAACAGAGTCACCACCCCATTACTCACCGGAAGAGGAGCTCGACAACAGAACGCCTCGTCGCGAATCACTCCATCCAAATCCGACTTACGCCGCTATCGCTCAAAGTGAACCGTCCGGCCAAGACACCTGGTTCTTGGACAGTTGCTGCGGGCAACACATGTGCTCGTCCGGGCGTTTCGTACAGCGCGAACATCGACTCCAGCGGGAAGTGATCATCACGGTTGCCAACAACCAAAACCTGCGCACACGAAGACAAGGAGTGGTACAGCTTCAGTCAAGAGAAACAAATGTCATACTGCACATGTCTAAGGTACTCATCGCTGAAGGACTCGGCTACAACTTACTGAGCGTTAGCCAGTTGATGGCGAAAGGAATTCATCTGGAAGCCGACAGCACGACCCAGGAGTTCAAGCTTTACCACGGGAGAGGCGGTCTCTACATCGGGAAAGCAGTGCTGAAGAACAACGTCTTCGTCCTCGACTTCGCTCCCGACCTCGGCACTGCAGACAGCGACGCCATTGTGAACTTTGCTGATTGGACACACCCTCCGGATCTCGACCCCGACTTCAGCCCGGGAGGTTTCTGGTACTCCCACACTATCCCTGAAGCAGAGCGAACAAGAGCGTTAGCAACGATTCAACAAGAAGCAGAGACGACAACATCGGCAGCAGCAACAACATCGGCAGCAGCAACAACATCGGCAGCAGCAACAACATCAGCAGCAGCAGGAACAACGACACCAGTCACAGTCGACGAAGCACCACCAACACCCGCGCAACAGCTGAATCCGACTCAACGTGAAGTCCACCGAAGCGCCAACCTCGTCGCCAGCTTTTACTCCAACTCCGACGCATATCAGCGTTCACCTGGACACCGCGCCTCTGAAGAGATCTGGCACGCACGCACAGGACATCCAAGCAACACGGTTTTGAATAACACGATAAGAGCAGGAGCCCTCGACAAAGACTCTCTACTTCTACCCGATGGCAGAGAACTCCAGAAGGCACGAGGGACTTGCCTTATATGTCCCGAAGCTGACTTACCTCATCGACCGTTTGCTTCACATCACAACCCGAGCGCTCCAGCGTACGCACCACTCGAAAAAGTCTACAGCGACATCCTCTACAATCGCGAACCAGGACAAGTCAACTACAACTACACCATCACCTTCATCGACGCCGCCACTCGATACGTCTGGCATCGCAACCTACCCAGCCGCGACATGGCGCTCGCAGCATTCGCCGCCTGGCTACCGATAGCAGAGAGAGAGTCTGGAACACAACTGAAAAATTTCCAGTCAGACGGAGGTGGCGAGTACACCTCTCAGCGCTTCAAGCAGTTCTTGGCGGGAAGGGGGATCAAGCAACTCCTCTCCCTTCCCTACGCACATCAGCAGCAAGGTGTTGCAGAACGACTGAACAGGACCCTGCAGAACAGCATGCGCAAACTGCTACGTGGCATGCGGCTACCCAACCACCAGTGGCCAGCAGCAATGGACCACGCTGTCATGCTGCACAACTTGTTGTCGTCGTCGTCACTCCCGAACAACGCATCACCGCATCTGCTGTGGACAGGGAAGCAGGGCAGCACGAAAATGTTACGAGTTTTCGGGTGCATGGTACAGTACAGACCCCCAGAAGCACGAGCGGGAAGATTTTCG